TTTTTTTTTTTTTTTTTACTCTCCTCCCCCCCTTTTTCCTTTTAAAAAAAATTTTTTTTTTTAATTTTTTTTTTACAAATTCTGAGTAGGGAAATATTGCCTGCTGACGCCCCCCCCCAGACCCCCCCCCCCCCCCCACACACACACCAATACACCCACACACACACACAAGTGAGAATCACACAATTAAGAAACGAACATTTCCATTTCATTTCTCTTAAATCCGAATTGAGGAATGTTTAAGGCCCCTGGAAACATCTTCAACCGTAATTCGCTCTGTTTAAAATTAGGTCGCTTTCATTCTAATAATCAATGTCAGTCAAGTTCAACATTTTTTTTTTCCATCAAATAAATGAAACGCATGGCTTATTCTATGTGATAGTTTGTAACATTAATTCTATATGCTCTACGGAATTATTTGAATTATTATTTTCTAATTGTGAAGCGCCTGTTTAGATTGTGTCACAGCTATTTGACTCTTATATACCTATGATTAAATTACTTGTTGGGAATATTTTAGTAATTTTGTATGTTAGCTTTAGCTTGGGTTCAGTTACCCTGGATCAGTTTATTACGATAAAATAAAAGAGTCGCCTGGTGTTTGTGTTGTAAATAAATAAAATAAAGTTGGATAAACTTTTTAATTAAAATATTAGAACTTCTTTTCATTTTTTTAGCCTCCATTGGTGGGTTTGTTTCCCTAAGAAAGGAGGTTTACGGGGCTTCAGCCGGGCAATAACTGTGGAAACATGCCTGCAGAGAATCAAAGAGAGAAAGAAGGAAGAAAAGGCCTTTGTTTAGGCTATTGCCCTGTCTGGGCAGGACGTTGGATTCCTGGCGGCTAATTTCAATATGGAGCAGACAGTGTACTAGACAGTGACCTTGACAGTGCTCACTTTTATTTTATTTTGTTCTTAACCACGAAAATATTCATTTTATTGTTTTGTTACATATCCGGGTAAGATATGGATTTTAGCAGAGCTCAAAGATTACATTAGTATGCACGCATTTGTTTGGATCTGGGAAAAGCTGTGAAACGAAGGCGTGGAGACACGAGGCAGGGAGGCGCAACACATGGCCTCATATCCCCCCCGAGGTAAAGTGGCTAATACGTGCCTGCACCTTACTCATCTATATGGGCCATTTTGTTGCTATTACCGCAGCTTCTGGTAGCTGTTCCAACAAGCCGAAAAAGCATTGCTGCGCGCCCGCCTATGTCGGACTAACTGGCCGAGCGCATTACGAGACTCACTAACTAGATAAAAGAATGTACAGTGATAGGAGCCTTAGCGGAGAGTGAGAATAAGAAGCCTGTCCTGTTAAAAAGCATCTGATATGTGCCTTTCTATTTAAGGACAGAGCAGGGCTCGGTGCCTTCAGGTTAAGAGAGGATGTGTGGTCAAAAGTGACAGATACGGCTATCACATATCGGCTGACTTGCAAGTCGTCCCCAAACAAGTGTTTAAATGAATGCTGGAGTTCTCACATAACACCCCATTGGCAAATTTTGTGGCATGAAACTGGGTCCTTCTAGCACGCATGTGCAGCTCTCTGGCAGCCATGCGCATTTCTGACAATCTTTAAATGCATCCATATAATCAGCTGATTGAATCAGTCCTATCTTTTATCACTGTGTTGTTGTTTTTTGTGATATTTGGATTTATCATTTATGTTTCAAAACATCATTTCTGCAGAAAAGAGGGTTTCTCGATGTATTTTGAAAACAATGTTGGAAGAAATAACTATTTTACCTCATTTTACTGTACAAAATCTAAAAAAAATGCTCGTTTGCAATTAGCTTGTTTTTGTCAGCATAATTTGCATCACTTTCAAAATGTATTATTTGAGTTCAAACTCAAGTTCAACGCATAGTGACTCTGCGTCTTGAACTTGAGTTAACGGCATGCATCGATAGCAGCTTTTAGATGAACTTAATGACATATTTTGTATACTCTGTTTTTTTTTTATTTATAAATCTGTTATATACAATTCCCTTCATATTTCTTTTAACCGTTCTTTTATTTTTATTTTTTTAACTGCACAGTTACACATCGAGAGATGATATCTTTGAAACCGCATATGGATTTTGCATTGGAAATATTTATATTGCAATATTTTGAACTGGTTTGGTTCATACTAATTATATTCAACTGGAAATACGAGTTTAATATAGAGCTGGCCTTTCTTATATTGATCACGAGAACAAATTTCAAAGACTAGACTCCACCGCTTCAGTGCGAGCAGTGCATCAGAATCCTAACCAGACGCTTTGCAAACTTCTGAAACTGTACTTTGTAAAAGAAATATAAAACATGCTTCATTTTGCCAATATTGTCAGTTTTAACTATATAAGTTGAAACAAAAAAGGTGTTTGTTTTGTCTGCTTCTATATTTGCTCAGTGTCTTTACACCCGCTTCTACAAATCAACTAATTAGTGCGATATAAAGCAGAGGGCCTCTTCGCTGATTGAATCAGTTAAGTGCCCTCTGATATCTTGTAAAATTCATATAAAAGAATTGTGAGAGGTGTAACTATCCCACCAGAGTTTGGCCGGCAGCGTTTATTGGAGGTATCTGTTAAAGTTGCTCATGTGAGGTGTACTAGAGAATATGATGTGAAATATACGCTCTTAAAGTAACCTTGTAGAATGTCGTCTTCTTCTTTTTATTTTTTATTTTTAACAGAGCCACTGGCTTCAATTGGATGACCCCGTTACTGTAAATATGAGCAATGAGGATCAGTCGTTTTGTTAAAACAACCTTGTAAATTGGGACATCACGATTTTATATGACACAGAAGTCAACCATAATTTGTTAGAAAACAAAAAGTCGCATACGCACCCACTCCCTCAAGGAAAAAATACTTTTTAGAAGAAAAAAAAAAAAACTTTTGCCAGCATATAAAGATATTAAACGAGGCCGTGGACAGTTTCACTTCTGTAAAAGGAAAATGCTGCTCCCTTCTGGGCTTAGAGAAAGAGAGAAAAAAACAAGACTCCACTTTTTGAATAAAAGGTTTATAGTATTTTTTAAAAAGCTTATAAACCGTTGTAATACAGAAGTTAATGTTTTGTTTTGTCTGAGATGGACCAAGTGGGTGGTACCATGTGGAGCACAAGTTAGCCCGGCCACGTGGTGCTGTGATAACCAATCAGGCGCAGCTCCAGGTTTAACTATGTTAAATGTCAGATTGCAATAAACTAGAAGCTGTTGGTCGGGCCCGCGGAAATGGGCGAGCATAATCTCCTTAATCCAGGGTTTGTAGGACCTCTGGTAAACATCCATACAGGAGACACCTTTTACTTTCCGAATTTTAGAGCCTCAGGGGGACAGCTGGCGGGGCTACCGTCTCTCTCCTACCCGAGAAGGGACAATGTTTGCTCCCTCCCGTGGAACCCTTCGGAGCCGTGCAATGGATATTCTCAATCCTACTTTAGCAGCCCCGTCTCTATTAACCCTTCTTTCAATCGGTCGTGTGAGATCACCAGACCGGAGGAGGGCAAGTGCTACTACAACAACGGGAACAGGGAGACCTGCTCAGGTGGCAACGGCAGCGGCAGCCTAAAACGGGAGGACAGAGCGAGGGACACATCTTCCCTAACATCTGACCACGGGATGCACGCCGGGATTGCAGGCAGCGTCTCCTTCTCTAAATATGAGTATGGAACGGAGCAGCTCACACAGGATCCGCCGTCCTGTCAGTCGATGGAATCTGACTCCAGCTCCTCTCTGTTAAATGAGGGCGGCAAGCCTCCATCTAGCAACACACAGACCCTGGTGTCTCCGGGAAGCCATTCTGGCAACATAGCCGCAGGCGGAGGTGGGTGCTCCTTATTTCTTTATACATAAATAAATATATGATGGCACCGTAAACGCAATGAAACACATTTTTAACCTGATTAAACGTATATTCCCTTTACATACGGGTTATTATTTTGATGGTCATCCTGCAGCCTTTTTTAGCCTACAGGAAACATGCGTGGTGCGCATACGCCACTAGGGGTAGCCCTAAAATACCCCATTTACCGTGTGGCACCAATCCCAGAGAAAAAAAAAAACTTCCAAACTAAAGGTGTCTCCACATTTTTTGGCTAAAACGTCCTTCTGGGACAATCAGATATCTGTGAAATAGAAGAGCTGATTTTGCTCCTTTGTTTTTACTATTTAAACAGAAACTAGTGAACTGTGTTTTAAAGATGAAAGTCACTTTAGTCGACTGTTATGAATGGACAGAGGGGGAGAGTTTTCCTCTTTAATGACTCGTAAACAGAATTAATATATGTCACTCTGGACTCGAGCCGTTTAATATGCTCAAGAAACAAGCGAATAAGTTAGGATAAATGCTGCAGGTACGGCTTAATTATCGCTTTAATGCTGCTTTAACTGACAATAAAACTCACTTTGACGCAAAGCCTCGCTTTAATATAGCGGTCTCTGAGCGGGGGCTGGAAAGGAAATTTTAAATAAAACAAGTAGTAAAAAAGTTTAGAGAAACTGAATCAATCCCGAAGACCAAAATAATAGCAGTATCTTCGGGGGCGTATAAGTTGCATTGCTGCCAATTACTTATGCACAAGGCAGCTTTTGCAAAACATTCGAGTTGTCTTAAACTATTATAATATTGCATCTTCATTTGACACAATCAACGCTGTTACTGCGCTAATTTATGACTTGAACGTTTGTTAGACTGACCTGGCCCCCTCTAAGACAACAGATGCCCCTATTGCTGCGCCATAACCTTGAAGATGACCGTGATTTTGTAGCCTAACTGTGTTGACTATTTCGCTCTTTGACCCCCCCTCCTCCTCCCTCTCCTCTTCATCTTCCATTACTTTCTCCTCTTCCCATCGTCTTCTCTCCTCCAGGTGCCCCTTGGTACCCCATGCACACTCGGACCAGAAAGAAGCGCAAACCTTATTCCAAACTCCAGCTGGCGGAGCTCGAGGGAGAATTCATGCTGAACGAGTTCATTACCAGGCAGCGGCGGAGGGAGCTCTCCGACCGACTGAACCTCAGCGACCAACAAGTGAAGATTTGGTTTCAGAACCGCAGGATGAAGAAGAAGAGACTCATGTTAAGGGAGCAAGCTTTGGCTTACTTTTAAAGATGTGGGATATAGAAAGGTGAATCAGTAGGCAGTAAATAAGAAGAAAAAAAAAACGAAAGAAAGAAAAAAGCCAAGGCTTCTACGCTCCCTTAGGTCTTATTTCAGTGCATGCACTCATCTACCCATCTTCGTTCTCATGGCGGGCTATCATTGCACCCTTTTTGCAGGTTTATCTTTAAAGATGCCCCCACACCCTAAAAAAAACAAGCCACTTTCTAGCGTCCACCACGATGCACATTAGTAAGCCTCGAGGTTTGACGAACTGGCACAAAAACTGTGAATGTTTTTTTTTTTTTCCTGTGTAGTATTTCCCCCTCAACTTATCAGTTGCTAAATGTTGAGGAAATATTACATCATTCATTCTGTTTTACCCTAAATGATAAGGGTGGAAGAGAGGCCGTTTAAGGCAGAAATCTTAGAATAGGGTCTAAATATATCCTTGAAACCAGGCAGCCTGACTGCCAGGCATTTGTGCTCCAGTGTCTGTTTAATATCTCTATTAAAGATCTAAAGGAGAAGAATATCCATCTTTAGATGTTTTCGGATTCATTAAGAGGAGTAAGTCCCACGTTTTGCCCTGTTTTTTCGGAGTTAACTCACGGTCCCGTGCAAGAGTATCAGTCTTTGCATGACAGAAGAAAGGCAAGTCGAAACAAATGAGTAATAAATATATAATTCGTTTGTTCACGTGCAACAAACCACAGAGTCCTGCATGAGTTTTTACCATTCAAAAATGGTTCTGAGGCTGCTAAAAAAAAAATAAAAACACACTCATGCCAAACTCAAAGGAAGCATAAATTTGTCAATTCTACAGCAAAAATTAATTCCTGCCAGATCAGCATAATAAACCAGATGTCACTCACCTATAGGGCGCATATAAGCTTGCAGGCCAAAGGAGCATTTTTTAATCGTACAAAAGTTTCAGGCCCTCAGCGTGTTGCTCCTCTGATTTGAGGGCGACCACAGTGTATTATTTGTTAAATGAGTAAGCTAAATAAAATGTTTGCAGCATGTTATTGATGTGAAAGTGCTACCAATCGTGTTCTGCGGGACACTTTTTCTGTAGGTGACTTTTTGTACCTTTACTTTTTTTTTTCTTGAACAAATCATAAACCACCGATATTAAAAAGTCTTGAATAAACGCCTTCAAAGAATGTATTATCATTAATCTTGTTATTATTATTGTTATTATTATGGTGCAGGGACGGAGATTTGCTTAGGCCAATTTATTTACTTGCAGTGTTGTCTCCGTCCTTGTCTTCGTGTATAACTTTGTAAAATGACAACGTAACCAATAATAGTATTCGCATCCTATTTTGAGGATCCCCCTATCGCTATGTAATAGTGCTTTATGTTACTGATTGTCTTGTATAACTTCATTCCATATATATATATATATATATATATATATATATATATATATATACGTTGTTACTGTAAGGGGTGCGGGAGGTATAGGACGAAATTCAGAATGAATGTTAAGAATGTAAGATTCTGTTATTTTTTACAATTCTGGACATTTAAAGAAACTCAGTTTTAGTGTAGTGGTTGTTCATGGTCGTACCTTTCATGATGTCGCCCACCCTATGCATTCCTTTCCTTTGCGCTTGTAAGGATTGCTACGTTGTCTTGTAAACGTAATGCTGATATGAATGTATATGCGTAAGGTCTTCAATAAACAGAATATTGAAATGTTTATTGGTGTTACAATAGTCTGTTATTCACACTGCCTCTGATATATTCAACATAAAAAACAACAACAAATGAAATGAAGTCTGCGGCGGGATTGTTATGGGCCCAGAAAGTAAAAGAACAAAACAAAAACAAAAAACCCCCCAGAAAAACAGATATACTGATAATAATAAAAAATGAATAAAGAAATAAACATTACCACAATGAAATGCAGATTAACCGGTCAATCTGACTTATTTAAAGGAGCTGTTTGTTGGGAATGTTGTGCAAGCTTTTACACGGATGCTCTTTAGAAGCCCGCACAGGTTGACCTAATTTTATTGTGACCACAAGAAATACAAAAAAGGTTATAGGTGCCTTTGATATCAGTGACCGTGTAAAATTGTGTCTAAGTTTATATAGTGCACGCTATGTTGCATTAAAGTTTAATGCTTACCCTTTCCATTTTTTTTTTTTGTTTTCAGTAAAAAACAAAACGAAAACACCCGCCACCCAAGACAAACAAACAAACAAACGAAAAAAAAAAATCACCTTTTTAAACCCCTCAAGTTTGACCTGATCATTGTCATTTCTCTGCTACAAGCCTATAACGTCGCAGCAAAACACGCAATAGCTCTGTAAAGCCGTAATAGGGTTACACCCCAGTGCTTCATCTATGTAGAAGCCCCTTTGGCCTGGCCTAAATTTTATTAATGCATCCCAGCATTTTGCTGATGCATCCAAGAAATGTAAACGCACTATTGCTTATATGAAAACTTTAAATGTTATAAGAAAATAAAAGCAAATCTTATTTCTCAGTGTTTAAAATGCATTGGATTTGATCTTATGGACGTTTCCTGGGTCCACAAGGCTCTCCCTGCTGGCCGTAAAGTGTAAAGCCACACACTGGCTGAGCAGTGTTTTTCTTCCTGTTAACTAACGGACCGTTGGTGCGTTTGTCTTTAGCAGCTTGTAGTCTCAGTTAAGTGAAGAAAAACGTTGTTCTATCTCAGTTTTCATATCAGATGTTGCCTTTGCAATGAGCTGTGAAAGACTTCTGCAACCGAATCACTGACTGCCATCCCTCTCTCTGCAATTTACCAACATATAGAGTTATAAATGCAAGTAAAAGATTTATTTGTCTCATTATGCCATCGTGCTCAATGATATAATAAAGGTGTCGGTCCATTACAGATTTTGTATTACTATGGTGTCTATTGTTTATTGTGCCGCTGCTGTTGCAGCCTAGAAGCATCTGATAGCTTGTGCGCCCTACCTCGAAGTGAACCACACTTCCCCGTCTAGGTGTTTGCTGCAAACCACAAAACATACCAGTCAATAAATTCTTCACTGTGTTGCCCAGTTAGCCAGAGGGCATAAGTGTGAAATCCATAACATTGTTGCAACATCTTGATTAAAGCAAATGAACGGGATGTCTCGATTCCAGCATGATGACACAGTGCGTCAAGTTGCACAATAATGATAACAATCAGATACCAACAATACAAATATCAAGTATGATTACAAACAATATCCATACTGTGCAAGCTGTGTGGTTATTTTTAAAAAAAAAAAAAAAATAATGATAAACATGAAAGCTGTGTGTGTGTGTATGCCAGAATCTTTCATGAAACTACAAGGTAAATCAAAGGGGTTACAGAAAAATTAATGTTATGCTCTGTTTTTGTTTGAAAAGAAAATTAGCTCCCCATAAAAATTTATTCTAAAACGTGTTTTAACTTGTCTGCTCAATATTTTAAGAGACGTTTAAAGTAAGATTTTAAGATAACACATTTTAATGTTTCTTTAAGCAAAGCGAAATATACCCGTGCGTAAAAAGATGTTATATTGTCTGGTAAAAGGAGAGTTGTGCTTTCTCCAAAATAAACTCAGTTAAAATGTATTAAACAATATTAAAATGTTTTTAAATTAATTTATTTTATTTGGTCCTCGAGACAAAGCAATACTTGTGTCGATTGCTTGTGTATTACCTTTAAAAAGTGTTTAGAGTCAACATGAAATATAAATTACGCACCAGGAACACATCTTTAATTTGGCCATTTATCTTAGTTAAACGGCCCCCATATCAAGTTGAATTATTCCTGATAAACTGATTTCATTCTACAAGAACTTTAGATTTTTTGTTCCACAACCTACTTGTGGAATTTGAACTTGAGGAGTGTTTTAAATTAAACTGCTAATATGTAGAAAATGAGAGGGGGGAATGGCTGATCAAATTTTCGTGATTTGTAACAAACAGCAACAGATTACGGCTCAGTAAGGAATTCAGGTCTGGAGCAAAACAATTTGGATAATTTATTTCACCGAATTTGAACTGTGAGGAGAGAAGCGTGGGCATCCAAGCACACAGAGCACAGAGTCATTGTGTTTCCCCGCTGTGATTAAACGGTAGTTTAATTTGCAGGCCAGTAATGGTGTATAAATGGCTCGGATTATTGTTACAGAAATACTTGGCAGTGAGGTCTTTGGTTTAAGCCAAACAATCAGTTGCACATATTTCTATGCAAACGCAAGAATCTGACGATTTTATTCGTAAATTTATATTAATTTATTTAGCTCTGGTCGTTGCTGGGGGGGTTTTACGCACACAACGAGCTGCATTCCTATAACTACTAATTTGTTTTTTGATAAGTAACAAGAAAGGTGCCGAAGGAACTAAGCATATGTTTATATCCGTTTTTATATATGGGCAAAGAAGAAATGTAACCTGCCTTTGGCAGTTAGCCAAAGCTAGGTTATCTCTTGTCTTTGCGCACGACCTTCGGATATTTGGCTTTGCAGGTTTTTAACAATCTCTCTTTCAGTGCTCTTGAGCACTTTTGACTTTGAGACTGACTAAATCTTTTTATGACGGCCAGTCTCAAAGGTCAGTCAGCTTCACAGTGCCCTTCGCAGAGAACTTGTGTGGCATGCAGTCTACTTCCCCCCTCCGCCACATCTCCCGTTTATGGCACAGAGCTGGCCAGAGAAACAGAAAGCGGTGTTATTCTTGGTAAAGTGTATCTGTTTGGGAGCCGGTGTGTTTTAATATGTGTGTGTGTGTGTGAGAGTGTGTCCATGAGGAGCTTCCAAAAGAAGAGAGTGGAAATTACATTTTTTTCCACAGGAAGTAATGTTAATGTGATATAAGAAAAGATAGGTATGAAACTTAAGGTCAGAGATCCATATAGTTTTGAAGAATTGTCATGTATAGATTTTAGAATGATTTGAAATTAGTTCTCAGTGGGCTCCCTTTCCTTCCCCTGAAATGTGCCATCTTATTAATATGTGTTTCATTAGCATCAGGCGTATAACAAATCCTAACG